AAGTGATGTTCTGATCACATTTTAATATAGTATATGTTTTGAGTACACAAGTCCTTTTTTTTTGGATAAAATCGTGGTTTATAACAGCGAGTTCAGAAGAAAAATTTTTTTGGCTTAAATCGTGGTTTATAACAGCGAGTTCAGAACAAAAATTTTTTTGGCTAAAATCGTGGATATGTGCATACCTGATGAGAAGTATCGACCATACATATGATACACTTATCGAGGTGTCAAGTGTCTGATATGGTTACTTGATTTGTTTTCAAGAATCCATGTAACACAGACATTTTTGATAAATTTTAAATTACAACTTCAGAAGTAAAATAACAAGTCCTTATAAAATTAAGATGTTCATCACACAAATAAAATTATATTTATTTAATGATTACAAATGTTGTCACTTTCTAATTTATACAAAATTAATCCAAAATTAATAAAGCTGTTTTTTGACCTAAAATTTAGCTGAATTACATTTAATGTGCACAAGAGCATGATCTTAATCATAATAAGTAATGTAAAAAGCATAGCATAAGAGGATGATGTTAATTTTTTCATAAGTTGTAAGATGTATTTCTTAAAAAGCTAAAAAATCTAAACCATTATCATTATTTTAACTCATATCTTAATTAAAAAATCAAAAATGAATGTTGGATTATAATTAATGATTGCTTAAATAAAGTTTTTGCGTCACAAGTAATTGTAATTGAATGAGTATAATTTCATATAATTCTTTTACAAGTACAAGGAAATATAAGTATATTGTTGCTATTTTAATATTTTTTGTCTTAATTGAAGCAAGTATATGGAGACTGTTCCAATTATTTTCTACTGGGGGGAAACATAATTCGGGATCCTGATGAAGGCGTAGCATATGATGCTGAGCCGAAAGGGATATATGCGGTGCAAATTGGCACCACGCTTAGCAATTTGGAGGAGATGTTTACGTCAAAGGTGGCAAGTTACGGGGAAAGTGTCCGATTGACCTTCAAATGTAGATATCCTTATCGCCAGTGGCAAGCACACAGCAAATACAAGATATTACCGCTCAATGACGGTGAGGCGTTGAACACCGTATTAAGTATCGGTGCAAGTTTTCAAGCACCAAATTGTTTGGAAGTCTACATTGATAAAGAGATTGTACACAATATCCCGAACATGACACATATGGATTCTCGTCCGTTCACTACATTGCTGACGCATGGGATTGACACAACATCATTTCAGTCTCCTATGTATGAATCAGATCAATGTTATCCATTGGGCTACACACAACAGTCATTTCAGGGCCATGGTGTAGAATCAAGTTCACGTGGTGGATATGGTTATGAATTTGACAGTAACACACAAGATGTGCCGACATGCAGCCATCATACCACTCCAATTGAAGTTACTGGTAATATGGCTGAAACTGTGAACGAGGTGCAGTTTGCTGACAGTGACATGTACGGTCCTGATGTCGCCCTAAACGATGATGACAATGAAATGTGTGAGGAAGAAAATGTATTAGGCGGATCAGATGATGATGATGATGAAGAATATGATGCACAGGCTCCCGTTGAACCTGAAAATGCCCCCATTCCACCTAGAGTTGAAATCCCTTTCTATGACAACATTCACATGGGTGGTGATTTTGACATTAGTACCCGTGATGTCGTTCCCCGTAACCGGATCTGGAGTGCTGAAAATCCAGAGTTGGACAGAGGAATGGTTTTTGTTGATAAGAAGCAACTTCTATATGCTGTGAAATTGTACCATGCAACAAATAATCGAGAGTATAAGGTCGTAACCTCCAAGCAAGACCTTTGGGTGTCTGCTTGCAAGCATGACTGCAGTTGGTGGTTGCGTGCATCTCTTAGTAGGAAACATGGTCTTTTTGAAATAAAGCAGTACAGGGGTCCTCACCATTATTTATACCCACGAATGAACAGGACCACACTAATATTAGCTCCAGTTACATTGCTTCTCATATTTTGGGACAAGTTGCGGTTAGTATAAAAAATAAATGTTTACATATACATACATATTTGTTTGTTTATAGTGTTCACATCTAGATAATCTAACTCATATTTGATTGTCGTATGCAGAATGAACCTGATATGCCAATTAAGAATGTCATCGAAGATATAAAAAAGACCATGAACTATAGTATATCATACAAGAAGGCGTGGCATGCAAGGGCAAAGGCAATTAAAATGGTATTCGGTGATTGGGATGAATCATACAGGCAATTGCCTAAATTCATGCATGCATTACAAACATCTAATCCTGGCACCATCGTGACATGGAAGCATAGATATACCGGGCATGCAACCATTATACCCGTCTTCCACTTTGTTTTCTGGTCTTTCAAACCAGTCATCGATGGCTTTAGATATTGTAGGCCTGTTATAACTATAGATGGTACATTCTTATACGATAAATACACTGGTGTGTTACTTGTAGCAACGATTGTCACTGCCAAAGGCAAAATATTACCGCTTGCATTCGCTGTTGTCGACAGGGAGAGTTTGGAGTCTTGGTCATTCTTCATTCAAAATATCAAGGAACATATTATCATGGACCGACAGGGAGTGACTTTGATATCTGATCGAGCTGAGAGTATTTTAGCTGATGTGAGGCGGCATTGGCTGAATCCCTCGCTCCAATTTGTTGGATATCATCGACACTGCCTTCGACATGTTTGCAGTAACTTTAACACAAAGTTCAAAAATAAGGAGCTCAAACAACTTCTATGGAAAGCAGGGAGTGCTCATCAACGACG